TTGTCGTTAAGAGTTACAGAACAAAAGCCTTAAACTACGTAAAACTTGAGCTTTGAACCGTAAGATATTGACCAATCGATAATCATAGTTGATAATTTTTAAAAGCTTCAAGCCATAAGAAATTGATCGAACATAATTGATTATTCCCTTCCCTAATTCAACTATGATTAGTCAATTTCTTAAGGTTCAAGGTTTAAGTTTCATGCCCCAAAAGTTTATTGTAGACGCCACTTTAGATAGGCATATCCGAGAATGCGTGAGAATATGAATGACAAATATGAATATTTTTCGTCAAAGAGATCTTGAATATCTCTGCCAGTTATAGGATCGGTATTAACTTGCCGATGGGTAATCAAGTAATGAATACATCGTCGGCAAAGACCGTACGTATATAAATCATGCCAGGGAGGATGCCAGGGGCTACAGGGCGGGCCCTTATCTCCAATCAGTACATTGATTGCACGCAGGCAGGTCAAATACCGGCAGCGCCACTCGGCCCTAGCACGATAGCTTATTCAATTTCCGAAACGGCATTCACCATTCAATTCGGCGGTTATCAGCCTATGCCCATCCCCTATCTGGATTTTGCGTGATTCTCTAGAAAGCTGCGTGAATTCGTCCCGAAAGAAAAAGCTCGAATTTATCAACGGCTATAAATCGAGATAATCCAGATTCTGGGGCGCGTGGGCATGTGATCACTCAATTTTTACGAAAGCCGTACAGATCTTTGAATTTCGATCGCGAGAGAAGCTAGAAAGAAAATTTTCGAAAAATTAAGTAAAGTAGTTATTTGTACTTTTTGTTTTGCAAGCAATCATTTCTGGGAAGCAATGGTTCCTCGCTGAAGTGCAAACTCACCAACAAGCACTATTGCACGCGTAATTCGTAAACGGATGACCATCTAAACGTACACTGAAAAAAATGCTTGGTTAAAAATGGACGAACTAGAAGAGTCCGATTATATTGATTACAATTCCTCAATTAGAATTTTAACAGATAGAACCAGAAAACATTTTTATTCGTCCATTTTCAATCGGATTGATCCAACCAGACATTTTTCTCACAGTCAGTGTGACCGACTGTATTTAAACCTTTATTATCTAAAAAAAAATCACTGCTTAAATTTTTCGGAAACTTTTTTCCTACAATATACCTTCAGTCGCAAGTTTTGAAACACCCTTGTATCTTACTGTCGTATATTAACTATCCCTATGATATGACGTATCATCATCGAAGGGAAATATTCTCCGCTACGCGAGGGATATCTCTGACGCTAATTTGATAAGACCAAGTTCTACCGCGAGTACGAGCATTATCATTCGGCGCATTTGCCGTGCGCGTGGCTATCATTCAGTATCTACCGGGCGGTAGCGAGGCTGCGAGCGCACTTTCCCGCAGTGTACATAGATAATCGAGCTTAATTAATTGCTCGTGATGCGCGCTGGGGGCTCAGCAAACACATTTACTTATTACCATCCATCTTGAGAGCGGTGCCTCTCAAGGGGATCGATTTTCCAAGTGCACGCGGCTGATGACACAAATTGCCAAAGGGTCGACGCTCGATCGTAACGCGATCGTTAAATAAAGGCGCGGCTTTTTTCTCCATGATCTCTCCACGACGGCACACGACGGGCGTACCCGTTGAAAAAAAAAAAAAAAAAAAAAAAAAAAACGTACTTAATTATCCTGCAGCTTCCTGCAGTAGCGTTCGAAAAAGGACGAGAGTTAATTGTGAACCCTAAGCGACTTTTATGCACGAGACGGCCTGGAACTATCTGTCTTCGCTCGCCCGTTTTGCATACAATGCGTGCACGGCGTGTGTACGATGTTCCTCCACGTGTGTTAACTTTAATCTAAAATTCCTTTGTGAGGATAACGCGCGTCGACATATTCAACAAGCGTCGCTGCCAATTAGAACGCGGAAAGTATCAGCTTTCAATTTTAATAACGCCTCTCTCTCTCTCTCTCTCTCTCTCTCTCTCTCTCTCCTCCCGCAACGTTCATCTCGCGTTTACACTTCACGCTCTCATAAACCGCAAATAGAGATATCGTTTTAACGATAAAATAATACACAGACTTTCCCTCACGGCGGAATTGATGCATATTTCGACAACGTGACGGTACGCCGCTGCGATACCGTGGTACGCTGCCAAAAGTGCCGATTGACATCACCTCTCTGCCGCGATCGAGCGACTACGAGTATCAGGGGCGATGACAACAACGAGATTACGGGGTAGTTAATAGTCGCGGCCACCTTAATCGGTACGTCCCGTCGCCGAAGTACGGCGGCCTCGACCCGAGCGGAAGTCTCGCTCGTCTGATCGTTATTGACTGGTACAGATCCCTTGGGTCGTAAGTGACATTTACACGATGCATTCAACGTTAAACTCGTCCGGAGAGACAAGGCGGGAGACGGAGCGTCGTATCTCAGTTCCGGTATCTATACGGACACCGGGTTCCCCTGACAACGATGCAACAACAAACGCCTAATGGCCAGTTCTCGACTCAAAGTTTAATTTCCTGACCAACGGACAGTGCTTAAAGTGACCTTCCCCCTCCTCTCTCTCTCTCTCTCGCTCTCTCTCTCTCTCTCTCTCTGTTTCTCTCCAGCTCGATCTTCCTCTCCCTCTTTCTGTTTCCCCCTTGCTGTCTTGCTTGTCGTCACCGCCGCTTTCTCTCCTTCTACCGTCCCTCGAGCACGCCTGGTCTCGGGAATCGCAACCGGACGTACAGCCGCCGCTATGAAATATTAAAGAGTTAATGGCGACCCTCTTCACAGAATCGCGAGTAATTACTGCCCTTACAGTACCGTCGCGTATCCTCGGATTAATCGATAGCGCGGAGTTTGATCCCTCGAGACGATATTAATTGCTCGTACGTTCGAGAAACGTGCGATCTCTCGCGTTTTCCTATCCCTTCCCCATGGACCTTCCAATCTCGCGTTTTTCTATCCCTTATATGAACACGATGTAATGCGATGCCGTTAAAAAATTTTCTCCACGAGAGAGAGAGAGAGAGAGAGAGAGAGAGAGAGAGAGAGACAACGGTACGCGTGCAGGTATCGCGATAGTATGGTTGCCGTTATATCGATCTCGGAGAAGAGAGCTCCATGAACCCGGAACATCCATGCTCGCTCGTTTGACGTACATATATACATCGTATAATGCCTACGTGTGATCGTGGCACTGACCCCGACCGTAACGTCGCTTCTCTTTGTGCCTGATATGCATACGTGCAAAAAAAGTTTCGGGGTTGCCGAGCACGTTCCCACCCCACATATCGCGCATCTTCCCCCCCCCCCCCCCCCCGTAATTCTTATAGAAGCATACAATGAAAGAAAAATAAAAGAAGACAGATGGTCGTAATGCCAATTGTATACGTTAAAAACCAGATTTTCCAGTCTAGTATTCTGTTACCTATTATCATGTTTTTAGTCATACATTTCAATCGAATGAAATCTCATTCACCTAATTCATTCAATGGCATTTACCTAAGTACGTAAATAAAAATAAAAAATTTTTATAATTATTGAAAATAATTGTAAATGATCGAAATTAATCGATACAGCGATGCAATATTATTTTTTAAATTAATATTAAGTGAAAAACGGATCGAGAAATATTCAACACGCGAGTGAATGAAGGAGGGCAACCATGTTTGGTCAAGGCGAGTGCTCGATGCTTAATAATATTTCCGTATGACAATACGGAATTGACAATTTCCAGTTCAAGCAAATTGCACGACGAGTTTAATTTTCAGTCTTAAAATGCGATCCTAATTATTGAAAATTGTGAAAAATTTTGTAATATTGTTTAAAGAGAATGAAATTAATTTAATTATTAAGTGAACAATTTTTCCTTAATACACTCTTAATACATGTATATTATTTCTTTCTTGGTGCCATAAGCCAGATATACACGTTCGCACATTACGAATAATAAAAATATTTGAAAGATAAAATCGTGTGATTGGTAAACCGCGTAAGGTCTGGCAACTCTTTTGCGTCTGCGGCAGTTCAGTGATCCTCGGAGGAAAATTGGTCAGAGAGAAAGGATCTGCAAAGCCAGCAGTAGGATAATACCACTATTGGAAACGGCATTCGCGCCAACGGAGACACGGAAGTGGCGAGGAGAAGGGGATGGGGAAGGGGTGTATTGTGCAAAGAGTTCAAGACCGAGCGAAGTCGATAGGAGAGACGAAATCGCACGAGACGGACGGACGGACGGAACGAAAAGCGGGAGGGGAGTGGAAACTGGGATCGAAGTACGGTTTTGTGTCCCCCACGTCATGAATCATGCATCCTCATCCCCTAGGAGCGAACTGGAGCGCGCTGCGGCGGTGCGACCCGTCCGAGAAATAAACAATGTTATTTGTTCGTTGGGATCCCGACCCATCCGCAGCGGTCCAAAGGACTTCTACTAGGACTAGCAGGACTAGCGGCGGAAGGACGAGTGGGACGGATTCCGTGCTTTCGTAACCCACAACGATGGGATGAGATATACCCGGCTACTCTCCTACTCTCCTACTCTCCCACTCTCCTCCTCTTCGTCCTTTCTCGAAGGACGCTTCTGTCACTCCCTACTATCTCGTTCCCGTTTCTGCGCGCTCTCTACTCGCAAACCCATGCGCACTCTGACAGCTGGAACTGTCAACGGCAGAGGAAGCTCTCGCAACCGCTGATGGTGTTTGAACGGGGCCGAAGTGACGCGAAGGACGAGCGCATACATGCCGGACAAATAACGATACTTCCGCTTTCTCGGCAAACTGCCGAGGATATTCCTGCTACACCCCTACATGCCGGTGGTTGGTTTCGTCCTTCGTCGCCGTGAGCTTTCGTTCTTCTCGCTCCACTTGCCGCGTCCTCTCAGGAAGGATAAAAGCAGAGATAGAAAGACGAAAGCCCGCGACTTTCCGTAAATATAAGAAATATCGTAGGAACCAGAGAGGAGACGCCTTATTGCGAGACGACTAACGTGTCGTTCTTTTTATTTTTGTTGCAGATGAACCGTCCTATCCAAGTGAAGCCAGCGGACAGTGAAAACCGCGGAGGTGAGAACAAGCAATCCAAATCGATCCAATATGTATCCTAAATATCGATAATTATCTCGCTAATTTAATTACGATGAGGAATATGAAAATTCTTATGAAATTCGATAGAGTGAAATTTAATGAAGCGTTGAAAAAGAATCGTATAACGCTCTTAAAGTAACGCTTCCATTTTTTTACTATCCACAATATTTTCACTTTTACACCATACAAAGTAAAAAGACAGTCGCAAGAGATTGTAATCACACATATTTCGAATATTCATGAACGACAGCAAATAATTCAATATTTCATCAACACGCGATCAGTGATGAATCAATTGCAACAAATTAGCTTCGTGCTGGAAATATAACGCCATATGCTTCACGTGTTGTACATAAGCATAGGGGAAAGGAATTTTATTCCGCGCAGTCTAGGGTACTCGGTAGGTCTTTAATAGCATTAGATTCCATATCAATCGTACTAGAGTACTATGTAATAAACTACAGATAATTCGCTGTAATAGTGAGTCGCGATAACACATTGGTCGTATAAAATTCATACTCGCGCCGGCGGCGCGATAGACTACGCGATAAAAAATGTATGTACCGCGTGTACCCACCCATCCAGTCGCGCTGATATTCATCGGCCCGTTCTCTCTACAGAGTTGTCGCGCGTGGCGGCGCGGCTCGGCTCCTCTTCGCGCCCGCGCCATATCTGGCACGTGCACACACCTTGTGCAAGCCGAGAGCCAATTTTATTAATTACGTGGAATTTTTCAGCTGGCGATGGCCGTCGTGTTGACATACGCTTATCGCCGTGGACGCCGCGGGTCATAAATTTCGCGTCACGGTAGGATAACGGGGGCAGGCAGGCAGGCAGGCAGGCAGGCATCCGCGTAAGTATGACGAAGCTCCAGATAATCGAGAGACAAATTGTCGATCGACCATTGTTTTTAATGAGTCGTCGCTTGCGCTCGTGCTGCCCTGCACCTACCTCGTGTTTCCTCCCAATCGCGTGATACCATACGCCCACACACGTACATTTGTCCTGCCAATCTTATAAATATATTATTTCGTTGGTGTTATTTGAGAAAAAGCACCAACTATATGTTTGTATATATATATATATAATCGGCGCGGTTGTACGAGCGCGTTGTAAATAGTATCTCGCGGAAAAATCTCATCGCGCTTATCCATCCCCATTCGTTCATCCGCTCGCGCTCGCGTTCAATTCGTCCCATACGTTAATTTTTATAAAGCACCTCGGCAAATATAACTCGTACCATTGGAGCCACGATTTAATTAAAAATATGCTATTTATCTTTGGAGGCGGGCTTCGTAGCCGATCGATACTGTTCCATCCGTTTGGCGAGCGCCATCGTCGAAGCTCCCAGCGTCGCTTCCGATGCATGTAAATAGCAGGGAAGCTCGTCCGGGAATTCCCGAAGGCTAAGAGCCGTTGGGGCCCCCTTCGTTACCATTCGCAAAGTCCGTGCCACACCGGGGACAGCGTTCCCGACGAGCTGGCAACTACTCCGAAGTCCTTCCTGCCGACGAAGGTGGGCAGGACTCCAACGCAAGGAGTGCGCCAAGATAAAGGAGGAGAATACATATAAGAGAGAGAGAGAGAGAGAGAGCACATAGAAATGCGAAGGAAGAGATCGAGGGAGATCGCGCGCAGGGTGTTAGACCGGGGATATGCGGAAGAAGGCACGAGGTACGGCGGCGAAGGGGGCCGAAGGGGAGTAGATGAGGGGGATCGTAATTCATATGCTAATCTGGAGGAGATGCCATTGTAATCTCCGGTCGCCTGCCTCCGTGCGGCCCCACAAAGCCTCGGCTTGACGCGGATGCAGGAGTGATCCTGAGCACGGTGCCGCTCCCGCCGTTGCTTCTGCGGCGCAGTGTATACCTATGTAGACGCTGTATCTACGTAGTCGCAGAGAGAGAGAGAGAGAGAGAGAGAGAGAGAGAGAGAGAGTTCAATCAGGGAGGTTACTGAACTTCGACAGCATCGTCGAGCCGCCTCCATCCTCAGCGGTAACCGCCGATGTCTACCCTCTATCGCGTACGGTCGTACAAGATGGTTTCCGCCACTTCATCTTCGCGTCTCTCATTCTCTTTGTCCACCCTCTAATCGCGTCATCCTTAAACAGCCAACCCCCCGGCATGATCTTTACGATCCTTCATGACCGTTGACGTAATCCTCATCAGGTTATCTCGGGCCGATACAGATGTTAATGAACGTCATGTCATTCATTCGGAAAACGCACGGGATCATGGCAAATCCTCAATCGCGTAATTAGTGGTCCGATGTTACGTGTAATCTGCTCTTAAGATGTTAAAACCGTTCATCAACCGACATCAACATCCATCGAAATGAAACAATATTAGAGACATATTACGTTTCAATAATCTCTGCAATATTTCATTACCTTTCGGAATCATGCAATTAACAATATTACAAGATTACTATCCGATAACAATAGGTGCATTCACTCGAATACCTCCCGTCAGCGGTAATTCATATTTCGGTAATATGAATTAATCCGTATATAAATTCTATCTCGATCGCTTAAACGAATTCGAAGACTTCTTCTCATCTTGAACTGAAAATGGATTTAAACCGAATTGAATCACTTTAAATTGTCCTAAGTAGG